TATGTCGCTCATCTCTTCCTTATAGGCACTTTGCACCTCTTGGAGCTTCCCCATAAAATCGTCCCGCCCACTTGGCACTTGGCTCATTAAGGTCTCTTCAAGTTGGAGCATCTTACCTCTGATTGTTGAATGGATGGTGATGTCCTCCTCCTCGAGTCCATCAACCCTTTGGCCAAGTTCCTCTACTTGGCCCTCCATGCCATTCATTGCCTCCTCCATCCGAGCAAGGCGTGAATCAAAGCTATGCATGATCTCCTTAGACCTTCCATGTGGCTTGGGTGCAACAGGGTCCCTTTGCTCCTGGCGACCTCGCCCTTGAGATGACTCCACATTAGTGGCTTCCGACTCCATCACGTGCTCCTTGACGCTTTTCGCCATTCCCTCGAACCCAAATCTCTGATACCAACTGTCACAGACTAACTTTCCTCAAGTCACCCGTGCGGCTTTAGCGCTCTTTCTTGGCACTAAATCGGCCTTACCCCTCACAACACTGGACTTATGAGCCCCAAACACTCTTAAGAAGAATAATAGAGAGAAAGGAATAATTAGCACTTGAATACTAGAATGCTTTGATTCAATGCTTGGGTAATTACAAATGAGGGGAGGAGCTCCTATTTATAGCCTCCTCCATGCCTTTGGCCTTTCATCTAGCCAATGTGGGACTATACAATATCCAAGAGAAGCTTCTAGATTACAATATAATATTCTATCTCTTAGACTATTCTTATGTACATAAATAACTCTAGAACATTCTAGGTTATTCTTAGATCCTCTTTAGAGCTTTCCTCTTGCTCTTTCCTAAATGTAGTAGAATCTTCTAGAGCCCCTTTGATGACTCCTTATATCCTGATCTTCTCTAGAATCTTCCATCTCGTGTTCGTCTTGATGACTTCTTGAATATGGCGGTGACAATTTGGTTGCGTACAAAATAAAACCAATATTTGAAATATGGAGATGAGGGGTGGGTAGGTGTAGGTGGTGATGGATGTAGCCATCAGTAGCAGTGGGAGTGGTGGCCAGCAAGCAGGGGTGGTAACTGGTGTACAGTGACAGGGCGGTGGGCGGTTGGGGGAGGGGGTAGTGTTACCCGGCAACGTGATGCTTGGTGATGGTGGATGGAGAAGCCGAGCTGATGAATTCAAAAATAACCCAAATTTGAGCAATTTAAAATTCACCAAGGGCTATTTGGTTTACTAAAAATGATGCAGTGTACTTAAAATGTGTTACATTTGAAATGTGCTGAATTTGTTTGGTTTGGTGTAAAATAAATTCAGGAGTTCATATTTTGATATTTGGTTTGAGAAAAAAAAATGAAATCAATATACATATGATTATTGGAGGACAAAAGAGCAGAGGGGACTAGTGGAGGGCTGGCGGCCGCAGCAAGCAAGAGGTGGCTGTGGGCGACCAAAGGGCGTAGGGGGCTAGTGGGTGGCAGCAGCAGCAGCGGGCGACAGTAGTGGCGGGCCATAGTTTACACTGTTTTTGAAAATAATCTAAATCTAAAGGATTCAGAATACGCCAGTTTTTAACTGCAACATGATTTTAAATTCACCAAAATTTAACATTGCATACTTTCTTCATCCACAACCCCTAATTTTTAAAAACTCTTCCATTTGTTTTATTCTACACTATGAATTCATCAAACTAAACAGCCCCTAAAATGTGAACTATGCATCTTCCAGCCAAATATCCAAAATTTTCAAAATCTCTGAATTTGTTTTTCATTGTATTTAAAAATTTTTCCAGCAAACAATCTGTAAATTATTTTTAGAATCTGCAATATAGTTTTGTCAATTTCTGCTTATTACTAGAATCCCTTTTGGTGATATTGTTAATTTCTAAGCCTGTATATGATGAAAATATATATCAGATTTGCTATATGTGCTGAATAATTAACCTTAAAAGAAATGTTGAATTGAAAAAGAAACTTAAATGTTGTGCATTATTAATTTGAAGTATAAAACAGTAATTTCTTATTGACCTGCTCATTTGACGGGGTATTTTGGCGCATGGATTTGTCTCTATTATTACTCTATTAAATTCCATCTTTTTATTTCGCTCACTTGTAGGCCTACATACTCGTTAACTTATGCCATTATAAGAAACTTAAATGTTGCGCATTATTAATTTGAAGTATAAAACAGTAATTTCTCATTGACCTGCTCATTTGACGCCGGGGGGAGTTTGGCTCATGGATTTGTCTCTATTATTAGTTTATTAAATTCCATTTTTTTATTTCGCTCACTTGTAGGCCTACATACTCGTTAACTTATGCCATTATTTTTATAGTTTTATTTTTTGTTGGAAGTTGGGTTTAAGACCTCGTTGTGATGCAAACATTACGAGCAGCTTTCTCTTCTTTGAGCTCTACTGCAAGATTCTGTAGTGCCTGGAATCTCTCTTATCTTCTAGCTTCTACAGCCTTTTGAAATCATCAGCTGCCCGCAACCCTTCTGGTTTTCCACGATCTCCATTGATATCTTCTTATTATTTTTAATTGCTGGGATATTTGTCTTTTGGCCGTATCTGGTGTGACCCAATTCTCTGTTCTATTTATGTGGATTTATTATGTGTCAACTGTTTCTGTACCAACGACTTCTCCGTTGTCTTTTCTCTTCCTATGACGGTCTTTATGACCTCAAGCTGAGTCTTTTTTCTAGTAGCTTATGTGAGTGATTTCTATAGAAAACTGACTCTTGCAATTTTTTTTGTGATGTTTTCTATTTGATCAAGGAGAATTTTCTCTTGACTTTGATATTATACTAAATTGATTCTGGCATGTTAGTGATTAAGTGATAAATTTGAAGAGTTTTGGAAAATGTTACTTCTTATACAATTTGTTGATGAATTTTTTTTATTTTCATGCTTTTATGTTTTGATATGAATTTAAGAATTTCATAATGTCTGGTTAACTGCCTTGATCCGGAATTTCAAATATGGAGACATTTGATATTTTGTGTTTGAATTCATTTCTGTCATATTTTCAATTTTAATTTTAGGTAGCAAATAAGTTTCTAAGACTGATAGTATATGTTGTGCAATTTTGCATGTTTGTTGCATGCTTTTTAACATTTCATATTAGATTTGCATTAGGAAATCTGGGCCTGTTTACATCTTACATTAAGATTTTGTATCGAGCTTAGTGTTGCATAACATATTTTAGAGATGCAGAGTATGATATCATGATTAATTGACTTAGCTACAAGTAGTTGCAATTTAAACTAAGTTTAATAATGTTGTTGACAAATTCAACATAATTATTATTGAGTCAAGAGTTTATTACTACATCTTTGATTTGAGGTATAATCCGATATCATTTCATATTGGATGATTAACTTAATAATTTTTTTTTATAAAGATACAATTCTAATTAAAAAAATAAATTTCTTCAAAATAGTGAGGCTTGCTCATAAATTTTACTTCTGTTGTTGCTAAATTATAATCTATAATTGCTAACATGAAATATATACTTCAAAAATAATAATTTTCTGGCTAATTCAAGAAATTCGAATAAGGTAAAATTTTTGTCCCATATATTTTATTTAAGGTAAAGCTGACGTGAGATCAATTGCCAGTATAAACCTATGGAGCAAGAGAGTTTTTTCACAATATAACTCCCTAAGTCTGGAACCAGAGACTAATACCTTGAAAATCAATGAGCATGCCACTTCATCTTAGGAAATATATTAAGCATGAAGTACAAAGAATAAATAAATAAATTACAAGCCTTTGTTTATCATAGAATAGATTTGTAAAAAGAAACTTCACTTTTTCAAATTTTTCATAAATTTCCTTCGAAGATTACTTAACATTTGATTAATTAAGAAACATCATCTACATTGAGCTTACTAAACATGAATTAGCATCATAGTAATGCATGATCAAATTTGTTCCTTTTAAAATAAATATTCTTGAAAGGATGAATTAGGTGTTAAAAAAGATTTAATTGCATTACAATTTTACATTTGGTTATGTTAAATATGAATATCCATCGTAGAGAACTCGAGAGATTTGACCATCTCTTGTAACCTCCAATTGGTTGTCACTCGTCTCTCTTTTACAAACTCCGGACCAAAATATGATGACTATAATCGGCTAATTCTTGCCTTTGTGAACGCAATTAGGGAATAATTGTTTAAGATTAATAATTTATGTCCTATAATGTATGTGTTTGTAGCATAATGTCATAATATGTGAACTATGAACCCATTAAACAAGAAAAAAATCACTTTTTTTTCTTTTATATTATAATGAAACTGATGGAAGCCAGCCTTACTGTAGGTTCCCAAGGACAAGGAGGAGCTTATTGATCTGCAAACAAGACTAAGAAAGCATTTTCCTGTTGATGCTTATAACAAAGCTCGCAAGGAGTTGGATCCCAAAGGAATTCTCTCCAACCGCATGCTTGACAAGCTTTTCCCATCCTCTCTTAGCTGAACTACCTTTATCTTTCCACCCCCCACCCCCCAAAAAAAGGAAGTTTTACATACATATCCCTAAATTCTTATGTATTTACATATCTGTCATTTAAACTTTAATTTTTCCATATACATGAAAAGGTGCATCTCACTTTTTAAAAAAGTGGTACTTTTGATGTGTATGGAAGATTTGGGTGGTATAATAAAAAAGTAAACTGTGTTAGATATGTAAATACATAGGAATTATGTGATATGTATGTAAATGCCCCAAAAAATCATTTTATTTTTATTGGATGGTAAGTTGTAATGCCAAACTAATTGTTTTATACTTTATTTAGCTTTAATAAAAGCTATGGCTGGTGCCGTATCAGTGTGGAGTTATTTTTATGTAAAGTTGCTCTAAGGAGATGATCTTTGTCACCTTGCTTAATGAAATGTACTTTACCTTGCAAAAAAAGAAAACGTTTGTCTGGGTTTTTCACTGCTTTATATTTGTGGGGTTTAAATGAGCCTGAGTTTGAACATGTTGGGTGCTTATTTGTGTTAGGCTCATTTGATATTTAGCTCGAGATTGAAATTATTGGTGAATGGTGCTTTCATATTTTGCTATTTGTTTAGGATTTTATATAAATTTACAAAATGAGAGGGTATCTTGTTTGGCTATTTGTTACTATTTTACTATTGCTTATATGTATATATTACTTTTTTAAATGAAATGGCTAAGTCTATTATATGAGCCCGAGACTTCAGTCATCCTTAATGTGTTTAACATTTTGATTACCACCTCCTTAAGGCTAACTGTGCCAAAGGGGATTCGAACCCCCTACTTAAGGGGTCTTATATCATGGATGCCAACCAACAGACTAGGGTGAGTCACATAGTTCTCATGTGTTGAATCCTCGTTTGTTCGTGAATCTCATCCCAATGGATAAACAAGAGAGTTCTAAATGTATTATTTCTTATTACCGTTCACCCTTTTCTCTCTTTCTCCTTTCTTATGTTTTATCTCTTGTGATGTGATCACTTTCAGGATGTTGAATTCACACATTTCAGTTGTTGAATCCTGATTTATGAGTCAATCAAATAACATAAAATGTTAGAAAGGAGATAAGTCATATATTTATATCTAATAACTAAATTTTTATAGCATTTTGATATTATAATTTTGGCGTTAAATTGTGTATTTTATTTTTAAAATTAAACAATAATATTTTGATGTGATATTAAAGATTTGTGTGTTGTGAATTTCAATATAAAATTTAAATCTTGAATATATAAATAAATAAATGTTGTGTGGGATGTGTGCTAATGCTCAGGACATTCAAAGTCAACAATCCATTCCCCTGAAAACTGGTAGCCTTATTAAAGCAATAGGCTGCCGACTTAAAACCACACGCTATTCACTATTCATGCCTATTATTCGCATTTTATGTATTTATTTAAACAGTCACATCAAAGAGAGTATTTTATTTATGAATTTTATTTTGCAAATTAATAAATTAAAAAAAAAAGTGGGCACATTAATTGAAAATAAAATAAAAAGTTAAAAATATGAGAATATTTTGTAAACAAAGTGAGTACTGATACCAAACTAAAAAAGAATTTGCATGACAACTGATCAAATTGTTCCTCATTACATTCTTATGTTGTAACATTATATTGCTAATCACTCATTGTTTTGTGGGATTGCAATGTCAAACTAAGCTTGAATCTTCCCATTCATTGAGCTTGTATAGTGTTAATCATAGTTGCCAACAATAATAGACATTCATATTATAAAGTATTTATGCATAGATAAAACCAATTATGATTTTACACCCACTCACTATTGATCTACAATTAAAAAATGAAGTACATAAGAAGAAGTAATAGTAATTAAGCCAGATCCACTAAAACATAGAGGTGATATATGTGTTCGTTTGTGATATATTGAGCACATCCTCTAACCCACAAACCTTCAAGAAAGCCAATCTATAGGCGAGCTCACTTCATGTTCTCTTCGCTAGCACTATACCCATGGTGCATGGCTTGAGGGTGTTAATTTCCCTAGCTCACTTATTTATTTTAGAACCACAACAACTAGCGATTTACTAAGAAAAACTAGAGAGTTCTGCGATGGCAACATCAATAAGCTTACCAACCAATCAGAAGTTGACCTAACCAACACCCCATCTATTCGCAAAATGACACATTGAGAGGCTACAAGATGCACTATACTACCACATAAGTTACGAGAAATATCATAACACACACATATTTAATAACGCCCACACATTTAGATATATCTGCTATCCAGTCATATACATGCTATATTTTTTGTTTATGTATTAGACCGAGACGCTCTT